GACTTAAGCCCTTCTGTGCGTCAGCAGGAGCAAAAGCGACCAGGAATGGCATCAATATCCGGCATACCAGTCCAGTATGCCCGCAAAAGCGACCAAAGATTCTCTCAACGCTGTTGTCATCCTCTCTGCCCCGTAGCATGCCTGTGGAACGATCACAGTTCTGCTCGCTCCCCAACTCCTGCTAACCGCGGTCTGCTTTGGGCGCGGTACGAGGAGGCAGTGGTCCAGATCCCCCGACCTCGGAGCACCCAACGCATGACGTTGTTAAGATCATCACGAATGGCAGCCAGGAGACAGTGGAGCTTACCGAAGATCCTAGGTTCTGATGCTTTTGCTGAAACAGGAAGAAACCGTTCATTGCTACTTCTCACACATCCAAGGTCTGCTGGTTTCCGGACATTTTTATTGAACGTGAAATATCATTTAAAACGCCGGTCCTTCCAGAGCTTAAGTACTTGGTCCAAAGCATGTTATAGCACGTTTGACGACTTGGCACAAGGTGGATAATGAGATAGTTTGATTTACTGTATTGCGGAGCAATTGTTCACACGGTACGTGGGCATGAGTGGAGGCAAGATATGAAATTCAATGATGACTCCTCACCTGATGCGTAAAAGTCTGAAAATGGTTCAAGAGCAGTCATCTTTTGAGCCTTAAGCCGGTAAGAGCGCAATAAAGCTTCTGACAATACTCCTCGAAACGCACTGCACTGCATCTCAAGCAGTGCAGACGTCCGGAAAACTCTCCTCGACAATGCAGAGCAAGTGAAAGATGCCCTTCAACGCTAACAATGCCTTTCTCTTTCAACACCCAGCTACAGCACACTGAGAAATCAACACAGGGGGCATGTTTCATGCACAAAATCGGTATTAAGATTGGCAGAGTCGCAACTTTAGTCGGTGTTACTTGTACCTCCCCTGTTTGAGTAGCCACATAGGATACACGGCTCCAGGATCATGTCCAAGTAGCCCACAAGGCGACCCGGTATACTGCCGACTGATTTCCAGCGGGTTTCATCCTGTACCGACGCTGCTGCGTACATCAGCCTAGTGCTCTGGAAGGCTATTGGCATTTCCGCTTAGTCTGATAACGTTTTAAATAAGCTACTCTGAGTGAACGGGACAATCAAGCGCAGGAAGTGAAAGGTATCTACGCCTGTCTGTTCGTGTACTTGCAGCACCCGCTCATGGAGGCATGCGCCAGGTCATTGTCAAAGCGCACCCCAAACGTCGGGTATCTTCCGTGACCCAGCCAGACGGCCTTCCTGGTGTTGTTTTGGACAGCACAGGCGCACACCTGCCCGCCAATTACCTTGCGTTTGTGGGCTGTGGTGAACCCGATCTGGAGGTGGTGGAAAAGCGAGGGCAGCTGCGCCCATGGCTGGCGCGCCTGGCGGGGCAGCTCGGGCAGCTCGGGCAGCTCGGGCAGCTCAGGCCGCTGCCACGGGCGTGGCGGGCCCAGCGGCGCGGCGACGACGGCGCCACGGCTGAGGCCGGCTGCACAGAGGGGAGGGCCGTAAATCGTGAGCAGCGCACCGGCGTCTTTGTTGGTCGGGATCCGGCTCAGGTCACGGCTACAGGCGGCAGGTGAGCGAGGCGGCGCCGCTGACCTCCCTCCCTTGCGGCGGTATTCACACAGGTAGGACACGGACCAGTTGCCTTGGGGGTACGGGGAGTTGCGAGGTGTGGGGGGTGACAGAACGTAGAAAGCGTCATACAGCCGCACGCATACGTGGAGAGTACAAGCGATGAGACAGCTAGAGAGAATGAAATGAAAGTTTGGAGAGCCCCTACATCATGCACAAGCACTGACATCCAATAACAGCTGTTAACCCGGCTTCGAGTGAAGGTATTCAGCCGTTTGCGGGCTCCCTGGGGGCCGTTTTGCCCCTACTTGTCTCCAGAAGCAATGAATGGTTCTTTCCGAGTCAAATTGCGATAGATTGCCCTGATTGTTCGTCTCATAAAGCTCCGTTCGAGAACCTTCGAGTAATCGGTAAAGTGACTAGTACAGTCAATCTAAGCCTTTCTCTGGAAATTTGACCTTAGCTTAGTTCAGTTGGATACCAGAGATGAGTAAAATCTCTTCATAGATCAATATATTGTGTCGCACATTTCATGGCCATTGAAACTTGACTGTTATGTAGAATATCGGCACTAGGTTTGGTGTGATTTGACGTGTCATAACACGTCGGCAGGTGAAAACTGAAGGTCATTTACTTTAGATGACACTTTCAGAAAATAGACACACAGGTATATATGTATGAAATAGGACACCACCGGCAGCTGAGAAAAACTGTAACCTCTGATACTGACTGATAACCTCAAAAGCTAAGCCATTCATAAACTTGCGTCTTAGATCCGCATGCAGACAGGCCTCCAGATTCCAGATGACTTACAAAATGACATGCTTCTGGCATACACAATGAAACAGAATGGGTCTATGGTAACTTGATCCATCAAGTCACACATAAACGCACCTCCGACATTTCATGTGTGGTAGACACCGTTTTCAGATTACATGAAGACTTAAGTAGCATTTCATTTAAATGTCATTGCTATGCTATGGAGATAGCGAAGATCATTGTCGATTTACGACTTACTGGAAGATATCAGGGAGATCTGACTTGAACTTTGTTGACCTCAAACAATGTGCCTGAACGCATTGTCACGAGGGCCAATCGCCTATAGAATGATACCAAGAGGGCAATGAAGTCCAAAATAAGAAAGATGGACACAAACATACCGCAGTGGCTTATTTGTTTAAACATGTGCATCCGTTGGCGATTTTACAGTTGCGGTCTGTTCGGATACTTCTCCAATGTTGGCTGCGGCTCAATGGGATTTGCTGCTTACGAAGATGGTTGCAATCTTTCGGTATTCTTTTAGGCAAACTCGCCTAATTAGCTGTTGCTCGCAGCCATGCTGCCGCTTTTTTTAGCAGAATGCAGGCCTCCTAGCTGAAGGTTTTCATTTAAAAGCAGACCGAATCACTTTGAGCAGAATAGCTGTGCACGAAAGTATACTATTTTACTTGTTTATAGTCACTATTACATAATGCACCACGACATACCTTCATAACATATATATATATATATATATATATATATATATATATATATATATATATATATATATAATATATATATGGGTGTGCCGATCCCGATTAATTGCAGCATTCAAATTAAAATTTAGCAATTACAGCTCAGAATGCAACCATTGAAAGAGCATTTAAAGTTTTAAAGGCATTCCCTTAAGCAACACACAGGCATAGAGACATTTTCTGTTCGCTGTGTCCTACCGATAGGTCACAAACAGAAACACAAGCAAAATTTTCAGGTGTGAGCAGCGAAGATGAAACTGCCATCATTCATCCTTCCATCCATCCATCCATCCACCTACCATCAGTTCGCAAGGAGCGAGTGGAACGAACACAAATGGAACGAACGGACAGAAGAGCGCCGGCCCGACAGCTGTCCGCTGGACAATGGGGCCGGGAGGTCTGGCACGGCGGCCAGCAGCACCCCTGACCACTCTGCACCCGTGGAGCGTGCGGCGAGCGCTCTTGTCCTGCGAGCAGCCCGCGCTCAGGGTGGGAAAGCCATACCAGAACAGCGGGGAGCAGCGGTGGCCAGCACTGTACCTGAGCAGCGGGGGAGAAGTGGTGACCAGCACCGTACTCGAACAGCGAGGGAGCAGCGGTGGCCAGCACAGTACCTGAGCATCGAGGGAGCAGCGGCGGCCAGCACTGTACCTGAGGAACGAGAGAACGGGAAGCCTGTCGTGACGGCCAGCCCGACACTGAGCAGCACCAGCGGTAGCCGGGGTGGACCCATGCCTCCGGTCGACACCGGCGCCGCGCGGCCTATAAGGGCCGGCGACGGCGGCGGCGCGGTAAGCTGCGCCCGGACGGCGGCCCGCCGCCAGCCAATCGCAGGCGTCCGCCACCAACACTGGGGGCGGCAGCCGAAGAGCGTGGGCTTACGATGCTCTGCTCTTGGACGGCAGGGGCATCCGACGGAAGAATCTCCCTCGACACTGGAAGCGGAGAATTAGCTGTTGTGTTGTTATAACAAGTCTATGTCTCCATAGAAAATAATTATGGTATTCCATGTGTGTTCCTCCGGCTTTGCCCCGGCCGTCTTAATATAGGTTCAGTCTTTATTTCTTGCGTTCGGATCCTCGGATTCACCTCGTCCACCACGGATTCTCCTCACTTAACAGACGATTTCCCGTCCTGAAATGGGTCCTTCCTGATCCTAAGATGAACCCTCTCCAGACCCGAGATAGGGTCTCTGCATTTATTTTGGTAACACAACAAGCAAATTTCTTTCACACATACGAGAGCTGTCATTGGGCTCATGAGAGGACAAAAAAGAAAGTTTTGTCCTCACCTCAAGAGATGTGGGCAGCTTGCCCATGTCACCCCCCCCCCCCCCCCTTCTCCTCCCAGACGCCACCACCGGATGATAACCAATACGGCGCCTGCTAGACAGCAGCCATGATTACTATCAGAGATGTTGGCGCCTTACGCACGCAAAACCTCCGTCACCAGGTCTCAGTTCAGTCGCCCTCTCCTACACACACCACTATTTCCAAGTGGCCTGTGCGGGACTCAGGTCAGGACCAGACCTCCACAGAGCTGGTGCAGGAAATAAGGTGAGGTCCACCCAACACCCAGAAGGGAGTCCAGGTCATGACTGGGCCTCCTGGGGTACAGCGTAGGTCAGGACCGGACAGCCAGGGGACCAGTGTGGGTCAGGGTCGGGACGCCAGGAGGCCGGTGTGGGTCAGGGCCGGGTCAGCGGCGGACCAGTGTGGGACTCCAGGTCAGGGTCAGACCTGCAGAGCACCAGCGTGGGTCAGGCCGCCGGCGGACCAGTGTGGGAGTCCAGGTCAGGGTCGGGCCTGCAGAGGACCCGGTGCGGGGGTTCAGATGGAAGGGAGGCGCCGTTCCGGTCGCCATCGCGTCGCCATCAGCGTCGAGCCCTGCTCGCTCCTTCACGACCGGCGGCTCAGCGGCCCGACGCTGTAGCCGACGCCGTAAGAGCCGAGTCGGGCCCTGGCCGCAGCAGGTGAAGAGGAGGGGCGGGCCCACTGACGGCCCGAATGCCGCCGCGGAACCCATACGCAACGTCGCACAGGCTACATTCGTGTGCAAGGATCTAGGTACAAATCTCTGGAGCCATCCGCTATCGTATATCTTGTGGGAAACCAGGGAAAATGGGGAGCTCTGCCGTTTGAAGAGAAAGGCTTGTGTAACACGGCGGTCCAAACCGGACCATCGCGTGTGGTGCGGCACAAGCAAACCTACTTCAAACGGTTAGCATTGGCGACGGCCGGCCTTCGCGTCGTTGAAAGTTTTCGGAGCAGCGAAGGATATCGGCTGTCACGTACTTGTCCCTTGGAGCTCTGTCAGCTGCAGGGAGATGGATGGTTTGAAAACCAGAATGTAACGACCTGTAGAACTCATCAACGCAAGTTGAGTGATGGGTCCAAGAAGTTCCTAAGCGTAATTCCAGCGTGACTAAAAGTAAGCGATGAGCAGAGCATTAGCAGACATCCCACCAGCAACGTGCGTGCAACTAAACGGCGACAAAACAGCAGGGCAGTTCGCCAGTCAGCTCTTCCAAAGCGCCTTGACAACCAAATCAATCGTCTCTGCTGCGAAAACATAGAATGTGTCGACGGCGTCTTGGGCAGATTTTCCAGACTTGGAAGAACCGCACCAAGACCAAACCTCGCTCAGGGAACAGGTTACCCTGGCACCAAAAACTTCGCTGCTGATAAAAACTGCAGATTCTGGACACGCAGCGCAGAGAGAACCAGGACCAAACAGGTCGGGCACTGACCCTGACCCGGAGCGAGGCTGTGAGCTTTGTCATTGGAGTTTTTCAGCGGCCTGAAACCACCATGACTGGTGTTACACAACCTAGCGTTAAAGCAAGGCGCGCCTATATGTTCCACGAAACCTGAATCCCAAAACTCTGCGATTGCGACCATTACGACAAATAGGGCCCGGAGCGAACGACTCCACCCCAAGAATCCCAATCATACCACCTGACATGCCCTTTGAGTTCCAGCGGACGCAGTTCCCTGTCAGGTAGATCTATAATCGGGACCACAACTAAGTGCCAAGGCCAACATCTGAAGGGTAGTGGATCTTATCCTAATGCGAGCCAGCGTTTCACCCTGGGTCAGCTTTAAGTTGGCAGCTGAGGCGTGCGCGGGGGCCGTTTTGTTCAATCCGCCACCGGACGGGTTACAAAACCGAAGAACGTTTTGCGCAGGAAAGCGCCGCAACCGTCATACTCATACATTGTTGCAAAGAAGTCGCGGTACAGGCGCAAACGCACTCCGGTATCCCGAGCCCCTTTCTCATCGACATATTGCTCATGCAGGGTCTCGGTTCTTCCAGCGCTCGGCCCGTTCGCTCCGGGGGCGCCCGAGCCGGGTAGCGAACCCTAATGCTGCACATCAGAGGGGCACGTGGACCCACTGGCTGGTCAGCTAGTCAAGTTCCGATTCAGTAGAGTGAGGCGATCTGTTTTGTGCAAGAGACCCTACGGGTAATCACAGACTTAAGTGTAACTTCTACAGATTGTACGCAACTGTTTACACTCGGTTTCTTTGGGCGGAACATATGGAGGTGTGGTATATTTGGGATCGTCTGAACGCTAGCGAATGATTTACGGCCGTCAATTTAGTTGGAACGTGTCCCGCTATCAAGTTCCACGTGCCCCACTACACAGATACAGATACGAAAACCCTCGACACAAAAGATCGATTTGCAAACGTAACATCAAATGCAACTGCTAAACCTCTTATTTGCTGGACACCTTTTTTATCGCCCGGAGATCGCCGGAAATATCAACTAACCTTGTAAAGATTGAAAGCCCGCTTTGGGCGATGTGCAATGTGCCTCGGTGAATTCCGATTCGAAAAAATAAAATTCCGTTTTGCGTAGGGCCTGATCCTCTTTGTAAATGTAAGTTAATGATGGTGGTTGAGCTCCCGGAGTCCCCGTTCGAATCAATATTTGTGCATGGTCCATACTGAACGTTCTCAAGTGTTCATTTGTACGGGTGCATTTTTTGCAAGGACTAGAATGAAAAGAAATAGGCCAGGGGGCTATTGATTGCTGTTACTACACGGTTGACAACAGACAGCTGTTGCAAACAAATCCTTTCAACACTTGTCATGCCCCTTGGGATACGTTTCTTTAAGCATTGCTGATAGGCAGGCTAGCCTCGGCCAAACGACAATACTCGATGCTTATATATTCAGATTTTGTAACTAAAATAAATGTGCTTCCTAAGCGCTAGTAAAAAAGCGAGGTACAGGAATCGCAAAAACATCGCTTCTGTGCACTGTCATGTGCCTTATGATTCATCCTTACGTCTAAGATTAAGCGAATGGTTGAATCTATTCAGCTATCATTGCGGAGATTATAAGCTCGTGACCACCAGTCACGTGACCGATGCCAACTTAAAGATCTCTTACTAACACTGAAAATTATCCCTGGTGATGCGAATTTTCCTCGGACGGGGCGCTTTTGACCGTCAGGCGGTGGCTGCTAGGGGTAGAAATACCACAGGTGCTGCGGGCTTAATCACGTTAAACGCCACACATTCAGATTGGGATTAGGATATTCACTGGTGTTTGGTAACTCGAAATTCTGCCATAACAAAGTTTCTACAGCAGCCTTAGGAGACGTTCATTGCAGGCTACCGCGTACAAAATCCGGCAGTTCCGGCCAAGATAATCACTGGCATATTTCATAACACGCGGGACAACTGACACCTTAATGCACTGCGCTCGATAGTACAAGGCCGCCTACACACAGGAAGCCATGTGCGTGTCAGTATGACTGCATGGTGTCGTCTTAGACGAATTATTTGGTTTTGTCACGCGTGGCTATGACCCCCGCTGCCAAAGGCCCAGTCGCATGCCAGTATAATCAGGTTTGCCGCGCGGACGACTTGAGGCTGAAACGCGCAGCCGTATCATGTACAACTAATGCAGCTAATGTAGCTTATTCAAAGTTGGCGGCAGGCCGGCGAATGGGCGCTGGTTTTGCGTCGCCAAAACTGCGAACTTGCAGCGGGTTACGCTTTATGTTATTGCGAACAAAATGTTGCAAAACATTCCAATGTTTTGCGTAAACATTGGCCACCGCGCATTGAAACATTCGCTTGCGTCATTATTGCGTCTCCAACTCACTCGGCTTAGGCGGCGTGTGTTGCATTCGAGCTCAGTTTGAAAGAAAGCTTGCTCGTTCACTTCGCGATTGAGAGCTGACTTTTCTATGGGTCGGAGGGCGCCGCACTGCATGGGGGGTTGGCAGACGACACATGCACCTATCTTGTTCAGCCAGTTGCATGGCGCCATGTGCCCTGACTGCCAAGATCTGATATGAATTCTGGAAAAAAACACCCGTAAACTGCCGGATCTGAATATTTTGCACGAGTACACGCACGCCGCCACTCACGACTAACGCGCGCCTCGCCCGCGCGATT